CTTTAATCTTGCCAAAAAAACTCTCTAAATTATACTTTCGTTTGTGTGATCTTAGTACCTATAAGTAGGAAGTCCCTCCTGTGACCTGGGATGATCAGAATGGCTGGCCTTCTTTTGATCTGAGAATCTTGTGTTTCTTGCTAGATTTGGAGACAGAGATAACTTGTACCCCTGTAACTCTCAGCCCATGAGCTCTGAGCCTTTTTGGACTTAGTTTTTATTCAATTATCATGTAAGACAGAAAAAGGTCTTCAGGGGGATAATTAAGTCATGAAATAATAGAGTAGAAAGCGACTTCAGAGGTCACTAGGTTATCTCTTTTCTTTTCTAAGAACTGAGGTTCAGAGAGGAGACATGACCCTTTTGGGGGCCACAGGACAGGGTGCAGGCAGAGGTGGGACTTAGGGCACAGTCCTTCTTCCTACAGTACAAATTGTGATGATATGGAGGTGACAATGATTCTGGAAAAGTCTTGAAAAACAAATTAACTTACTTATTTTAGTGCTGATTTTCTTCATTCTTGACGGAAGAATAAACATGAAATCTTGTGAATAAGATTCAAATGTTTGAGGAATTTTCCATCTATAAAGGCTTTCAGGACAAGGCCCAGTCAGTTATGCAACCACACTCGAGGTACATGCACTATTTGTGATGTTGTTTTGTAGACATTCAATGACGTTATACAAGGCAAGTACCTGGTTGAATGCTTGGCCTATAGGAAATACTTCATGAATTTTAGCTATTTATATCATGATTATTTGCCTACATATGGGAATCCTCTATTAGCCAAAAGGCTAGGTAGTGAAAGATTTGCTCATCACCTTGGACATAATTACCATATCATCCTTCACAGATCTGAAGAGGCAGACAAGAAAAATAGAATGATCATTATTGAAGTCTGGGAAAACATAGACACTGAAATATTTGCAGGCATGTTTCAATTGCTCAAGTAGGTTAGAAGCAGAAAAACATATGCTTTATTTCTTGCTTTTTCAAGCCCAGGTTACATGTTTTTAGTTTTTCAAATAACTATAAAAAGGAAAACTTTTATTAAATAAAATATACAAAAGCAAACCAAACCACTCTAGAAGCTGAGCAAAGGAAGTTTTGTGGGCTTCTGGACACTTCCTCCCTTCCCCATCAACAGAGAAGCTAGAAAAGGAGAAACCAGTTTGTTCGAACACTTCTCTTTTACCAAAATAAATAAAGAGGAACAAATTTGTGGGCTGCTCTTAAAAAATTGTGCCTATTTTTCCATTACTTATTGAGCAACAGCTTGCTAGGCAAGGCACTGAGTGACTTAAATGCACAAACTCACCGAATCCTTTCAACTCTGAGAAGAATGATTTTTATCATCACCATTTTACAGACAAGGAAACTAAAGCTAAGGGAGGGTCAGGAGCTGCCTAAAGTCCCAGAGCTTGCAAATAATGGAATTTTGAGATTCCTCTAAGTGGTCATGATTCCAGGATGAAACTCTTTAATCACTACAGGTGGGCAAATAAAGAAAACAAGGACAGAAATGGACCACGATTTAACGTTGACTTTTTAACAGCAGTTAGGAATTTGCTAATTCAACACCACAGAATTAAAAGTTGTCCAAATAGAAAGCCGCTGGAGAAAATGAACACATAGTCATTAAAGTATAATAGGCCTTCAAATGACTGTGGACAACATCATACACCTTAACACATTGATTCATGGGTATTTCTCATGCAGTCCAGTCTGGGCACACAGCCCGCTCCTGAAGGGTGTGTGGCATGAAGAAGTCGCTGCCCTGGGGGGCAGGGAGCTGTGAGCAACAATCTATGAGGGGTTTTCACTTTGCCCTTGCCCTTTCCCTCCGCCTATCCCAGTAGACACTTGGCTCCATGCTCATTTCCTCCGGAGAGGATGAAGCACCGTGAAAAATAAAAATTGCCTGTGTTGTACTGGAGCGAGCATAGCAAGTTAACAGGGAGACAAAAGTATGCTAAATTGCAGGGGTTTTATTGAGGGCAGCTACAGAGGACTTGCGTTTTTTTAACCCGTGGCCTTGAAAGGAGGACGTTAAGAGTTTTTACGCTTTTTTTTTTTTTTTTTTTTTGAGACGGAGTTTCGCTCTTGTTACCCAGGCTGGAGTGCAATGGCGCGATCTCGGCTCACCACAACCTTCGCCTCCTGGGTTCAGGCAATTCTCCTGCCTCAGCCTCCTGAGTAGCTGGGATTACAGGCACGTGCCACCATGCCCAGCTAATTTTTTGTATTTTTAGTAGAGATGGGGTTTCACCATGTTGACCAGGTTGGTCTTGATCTCTTGACCTCGTGATCCACCCGCCTCAGCCTCCCAAAGTGCTGGGATTACAGGCTTGAGCCACCGCGCCCGGCTAGAGTTTTTACGCTCTTAAACCACTTTGGGGGTGAGGGTGAGGGGCGGGGTTGGGGTGAAGGGCTTTAGACATTCTGAGGGCTAGTGGACTTCGGACATTCCGTAAATTACCTCCTGGGCGGAGATGCGGGTGAGGGGCTTCGGGCATTTTGATTGTTACTTAAGTGGTTTACAGAAGTTAAGATAAACGTTAGTTTACACATTGCCTGGGTAGGGTGGAAATTACAGACTTTAGTTACTTATTACAAGTCGCAGGGGCCAAGATGGCGTGGGTTTTGACTGCTTGCCTGTCACATTAGGGTTACAGAAAGAGTTTTAACAGAAAGCCCAGGTATGGCTGAGGTATGCAGGTTGATGGGGCTTTTACCATGTCACACCTGACAGCTACTTCTCTTCCTGCTTTTGGTGCCAAAACCCAACCACAGAAAAGGAAGGAATCTTGAGCATAGATTCTTGAAGGGAAATGATCTTCCCCTCAAGTGAAACGCTAATAATATTAACAACTGCTCTCACACAGGGATCCCTAACTATGCATCAGGCACCCTTTGAAGCACATAGCTGTGTACTCATTTAATTCTCTAAAAGCCTATGAAGAAGTTATTACTAATATTGTTAGAATGCTCCATGAAGATTTGTTTTTCTCTGCCTTTTTTTTTTTTTTTTTTCTGCTCTATCTCTACCATTGAGAACACTATCTGGCAAAGATTAGGAATAGGTAAATATTTATTGTAGAATCAATCTCCATATAAAAGTGAAGGAATTTAGGCACAGAGGGATTAACTTACCTGCCCAAAGGCCCACAGCTGGTAGAAGATTAGTAGGGTTAGAGCATCCCCACCTGAGCTGGGAGAAGAGCTAAAGGGAAAGCTGTGCTTCCCATGAGTAGAGGGGCCCTGGAGATGCTGTTGTGGCTGCAGGGAGGTGGGGAGACCACAGAGAAGAAGTGGCTCTGTTGGGTACTGGGCAGGTGGAATCTCAGGCAGCATTGTAAGTGGTTAAACCACCACGCTGGGGTAAGAAGGTAGCAAAGTGAAAATGCTACAGGAGCTGCAGAGAGCTCCTGGCGTGGAGGCCATGCACACAAGGACAATGGGTTCCTCTAGAGCAGCCTCTGTTGATCGGTGACCAAGGATCAAGCGGCGGCTCCTTCCCCAATCCGTGAAGTGTTACTTTGCTTTCCTCTAGCCAAAACAGCTGGTCGTAAAGAAGAATATTGTAGTACAAAATGAGACAAATGCTATTTTTTGTATATTTGACTTTTTTTTTTTTTTTTTTTTTTTTTTTTTAACTGGAGCAGTCTCTCATATATAGAGGCAGCATCCTGTAGGGAAAAATATTAAATGCGTCATCAGAAGGCCTGGGTTTTAGTTGTAGCTTGTCTCATCAAAAATTCCACAGGCAATTTACCTAATTTCCTAAGTCTCAGTTTCCTTATTTATAAAAACAGGAATTAAAAATCATTGAGGTGAGGATAAAAAGATTTTTTTGAAATTGTAAGTTAAAACTATCAAAGATGAGAAATACATTGTGTTAATTTTGTATAGCTCCCACTCCCAACGCATTTACACTTGATTTTGACACACATGTATCTTTTTTTGGTGAGTCAGAGCTACACTTGTGTCTACTCTAACTTTTTACAAACGAGTATTTTCATTTCTGATGTTTATACTAAGCGGATGTAAACATATTTTTTTTAAAGTTAAAGGCACTTTAGAAATCAGAAATAAGACATGATTGATAGGTTGCTATTGCTGCTTGTGGAAGTAATTTCCTGGAAGTTGAAAGCCTTCTGGTCATTCAAATGTTTCATGAACAATCCTCAGGCTCAGTAAGGCCCAGAAAGTCATTTTATTGGATCTTTTCACTGTGCTGTCCTAATAGCATAGATGAAATTAACTCCTGCACTAAGAAGTGAAAAATAAATTTCTCAAATGTCTAGGCATTCGTTACTAAATTGTGAAAGGATCACAAGCAAGATGAATTGGAAACTTCTACACCAGGTTTACTTTAAACACTTTGGCTTTTCTGAGAAATGAGGGTAAATGAAATATACCAGCAGCAATGCAAATTTACAGTCTTTGAAAAGATGTGAACTATAAATTAGGATCATTCTATCATCGAATGTATATTAGTGCCCATGACACGCCTGGCACTCCTCTTAGTACTGAGGAGATAACAGTAAACAAGACAGTGAAGTGCCTGCCTTTACAGAGCCTACGTTCCACTAGGGGAAACCAAAAACAAACAAATGAAATACAAGACATTGTTAGACACTCCCCTGAAGGAACATACAGCAGGTACAGGAAAAACTGTTTCTAAAATAGGGAAGCAAGCCATGTGTGCATCTGCAAAGATGACTGAATTGCATTCAGGTTGTCTTATTCTCCAGGAGTCTATGGTGTGAAACTAAAAATAAATGAACATGTAACAGTGGGCATACATATGCAGCTATAACTTCGACTTTACCTTTTATGCAAATGAGTTGGGTTATTTACACCCAGATATCCTGTATAACCAGCTGTCTTTGCAGGCTTGAATTGCCTGGCATGCATGTTTCATCTAAGAAAAGAAGGAAGAGCTTTAGGTGGAAGGAAGTTGCCTGTCCTCTCATTGGCTTGTAATTATCACTAACTCGTCATATAAACCCAAGGCACAGTCATATACCCAGGGATAGAGGACACTACAGGCTCCTGAGAGACACAACGCAGGTAAGTAATGTTATTGAACTCCACAGAGATTTGTGACCGAGGAACTCTTTTGTGAGCTATTTTCATGATTGTACTCACTCTGACCTTGTTTACCCAGAGCTTCTCCATATCTATGACTGTAAAAATCCAATGGTCATTTTTAAGAGACATATAGGTAGAGGAGATTTAAAAAGATCTCTTCAAGTGGATTTTAACATAGAAAATATAATCAATACTAGAGGAAAAATCCTGTCTTAATCAGGGTTTGTGACTACTTCCAGAATTTTCCCAAGTGATTTTTCAATCACTTGGATTGATTGAGTAGAGAATTTTATCTCATGGTTCTTCACTTTCTTTCCTTTTCTTTAAAGTTTAAGAATTTTACTTGTAATATTTTCTATTATTTTAAGCCACATTTTGTTGAAGCATCTCTGTGTTTCGACAAGAATTGCATCCTATTGTAACCGGTTTTTTCTTGGGTGCCGGTGAGGCACAGCTCACCTGAGAGAGTGCTGTGAGTTCTTGGCCTCTAACCTCTTAAAGAATAACGATGGGACCACTGCATGCTTGTGAAAGTAAATATTGGACCCAAGAAGTGCTGCAGAAAGGTGATTTTATTTAGGTAGAGAAAAGAGAAGGAAAGGAGAAGAAGAGAAAGACTTCCACGAAGAGTGTGGAAGGGGATTCCAGAGGGGAAATCGCAGAGGGGAAAGGGAGCTCCCACCACGTGGGAGGGGATTCCAGAGAGCTGGAAATCCGGCACGGGTGAAGAGGCAGGGGAATTTATTCTGGGAGAAATTCCCACCTTCCCAAGTTCCTCTGGCCAATGAAAGGAGTTCCTTAGAACTTCCACTGGAGTGATTGACTCTTAGTTTCTTCCTGCGCCTGTGAAATTCAAACATAAACCGTTGAATCTCCCTGATGGAGAGATGGGAGCGGGGCATGGCGCTGGGAAATTCTTGCCCTTAAAACTATAGCCCCTCATGGACCCGGAAAGAGAACACATTCCCTTATTCCTTCATGGCTAGCTTTACCGGGGGCTTTGTGAGGGTGATGGCTCGTGCTAGCACTTGTTCCAGGTTGGAATAGGGGCGTCGATCCTCTTTACTTCCTGCTGAAATGGTGTGTAGAAGGGGCCCTGCAGTTGAGGTTTCCTCCAGAGGGAAGCCTTTTAGGGGTGCAGGTTGATTTACAGATTTATGATAGAGCTCACGAGCCAAGGACATCTGGGGTTCCAACAGCAGGAGTAATTGCAACCTTACAGTTTTATTAGAAATGAATATGACCAGGTGGTTAAAGATGAGAGGCCCAGAGTTATAAACGAGCCTAGGAGAGAACAAAGCCAGGATTTTGAAGGTTTCTAGCCCTGTTTTTGATTGATTCCTGAGTTCTGCGTTTAAAGTAACACTTAACTGGTTTACAAAAGAGCAGTATTTTTCCTAGAAAAAGGTTCCCCTCCCTTCTGTTGTTAGCAGATTTAGGGCCCTTTTATTTTTAATTTTTTTAAGCTATGGCAGCTGAAGAGTTAAGCTGGTTTGCAGAGACAGATGCTTTTTGCAGAGAGAATTAGCAACCTTTCTCTGTTATTAACTAACTTTTGAGATAGCTTATGGTAACTGAACAGAAGTAGTAACTTTCCTAACACCAGCACCAAGTTTCCAGGGCAGGAGAGGAATACTGAGAAGGGCATGCCAGTGCCCAGGAGAAGACTGGCTTTCTGGACCTTCATGACTAGCTTTACCTGGGGCTTTGTGAGGGTGATGGCTCATGGTGGCACTTGTTCCAGGCATCCTTAGTCCTGCTAAGGGTTATTTGGTTAGACACCTCAGGCCCAGGGGACCTTGGTTCCCAGGGACAGTGTGCTTTCCAGTGATTCCCTTGGCACAGCAGGCACGGATGAGTTTACATATGTATGTTTCTATCCAGGGTATTTATTAGTTATTTACGTGTTCTTTGAGAAATTTTATAGGTTATTTTTCAAACAGAATTCTAAATGAGCTTTTTTAAATCTATCTGCTGAATCAGTAACTTCACACGATTTACTTTGGGGTATAAGGAAGCCAGTGGTTAATTTTAGATGTAAAGATCTTCAAACACAATCAACTTTTTAACTTCATGCTTCTGTATCATTTCAGCAAACATGCAGTTTTCTCTACATGAGATTCCTAACACAGTGACAGTGGAAGGGTTCAGAAAGAAATCTCACAGGAAATAAGGGACCAGAATGATGTTAAGAGTTTTGCTAGGGTAGTCAAATCATAACCAGATAACCTAGATGTTATTTCTGTGTACGATAGAGAGTTGAGGTCTAGTTATGCTTATTTTCCCTCTGCTGTCTCAGAACCATTTTAGTCTAGTTGCTTTATGTCCTCACTCTCTGTCATCTCTGTCCTTTATGTGAGGTTCTGGTTTAACACTCTCAGTGCACATCTGAACAAATACCACATTGCAAGGCTTTCGATCTAAGTCTTGCTATCTGCTACGTCAGCTCCCCCTCTTCTGTCTTCCTTTTTTGTTTGTCTTGGCTATTTTGGTCCTTCACATTTCTGTTTGAAATCTAGGATCCAGTTTCTCTGTAGAATCTCTTGAATGATTTTCAATGGTTTGCAATCATTTGCATTGCAAAGGGACAGCTCTGTCACTCTCTTCCTGCTACTCATAAATGTCTTTTATTATTGTCTTTCATTATTGAATTAGCTAGACTGTCCAGCATTATGCTGAATAACAGATGCTACGGTGGGATTCTTGTTATTCCTGACATTAAAGAAAATGCTTTTATTGATTCACCATTATGTATGATGTTTGCTCTAAGTTTTTAGTAGAGACTCGTTATAGTGTTAAGGAAGTATTCTATTACTAGTTTGCTAAGAGGTTTTTAGTTTTGTTGATTTTTCATTTTGCTAAGAGTTTTGATCACAAATGAGTGATGTTATAAATACTTTTAAAAAGCATTTAGTATCTATTGAGATATAGTATATTTGATGATAATTCTTTTTCTTTTTTTTTTTTTTTTGAGAGAGAGCGCTTCACTCTGTTGCGCAGGCTGGAATGCCATGATGCAGTCTTGGCTCACTGCAACCTCTGTTTCCCAGGCTCAAGCAATTCCTGTGCCTTAGCCACCTTAGTGGCTGGAGTTACAGTTGTACACCACCACACTCAGCTGATTTTTATATATTTTTATGTAGAGACTGGGTTTCACCATGTTAACCAGGCTGGTCTCAAACTCCTGACCTCAAGTGATCTGCCCACCTCAGCCTCCCAAAGTGCTGGGATTACAGATGTGAGCCACTGCACCCAGGCTCATTTTTCTCTTTTCATGTAGTTTATGATACAGATGGATGTTCCGATGTAACATCTTGCATTCCAGAGATAAACAGAAAACATAATTATGCAAATAACTACAGGAATGTCGTGTACAAAGTACAGCTTATTTAATGAGTTACAACTATTGAAAGAATATTTTAAAAGGAAAGATAAGCATTTGTTAGCTGCTCATGGACCTCTGCCAAATCTTAGACTTCAAGATATTTTTGCAGAGAAATATAGATAGCTACCAACCTACGTTGAGAATTTTTAAATCTCTTCTTTACTTGAGTGAAATACAATATAAAATAGCATGATTTTGTAAATTAACAACAAAAAGCAATCACTTTGTTTTCATGCAGAATTCAGCAGGTGTACACTGATATTTACATGGCATTTGACTGAATGAGAAAAGGTTGTATGTTTAACTTTTAATGCTGATGACTGTTTTTTGTTTGTTTGTTTTTTATTTTTTTGAGACGGAATCTCACTGTGTCACCCAGGCTGGAGTGCAATGGTGTGATCTCAGCTCACTCCAACCTCTGACTCCCTATTTGAAGTGATTCTCCTGCCTCAGCCTCCTGAGTATCTGGGATTACAGATGCCTGCCACCATGCCCAGCAAATTTTCAGATTTTTAAGAAAGATGGTTTCCACCATGTTGGCCAGGCTGGTCTCAAATTCCTAACCTCATGATTGCCTGCCTCAGCCTCCCAAAGTGCTGGGATTACAGGCATTAGCCACCACTCCTGGTGTAATGCTGATAACTTTCAATGTTATATGAAGAAAATATAATTTCTTTGTGCTGTGGAAACATTGACTATGCCAATAAAATCAATAAAAAGTTTTATATAAAATGATTTTCAAATAGAAACTGCAGGTCAGGCACAGTGGCTCACGCCTGTAATCCCAGCACTTTGGGAGGCCAAGGCAGGTGGATCACCTGAGGTTGGGAGTTCAAGACCAGTCTGGCCAACCTAGTGAAACTCCATCACTACCAGAAATAGAAAAATTAGCCAGGTGTAATGGTGCATGCCTGTAATCCCAACTACTTGGGAGCCTGAGGCAGGAGAATTGCTTGAATCCAGGAGGTGGAGTTTGCAGTGAGCCCAGATTGTGCCACTGCACTCCAGGCTGGGGGACAGAGTAAGACTGTATCTCAACAAAACAAAACAAAAGAAACAAAACAAATCACCAAATAGAAACTGCAACTGATAATCATACTACTCTGTAGGCTTTTAGAAATTGTTTTGATATTTAAAACAAATAGGTCCAGGAATTATATAACAGTTATGCTTTTCATTTCCTGGATAAGAATAATCTCTTATAACTTTTAAATTTATGATTTTGGTGCTCTTAGACCTTTTCTACTATTTATTTCTAAGCTCAACGTTTCTAAATAACCTGGAAAACAGTTTCATTCTTCTGATGGGCATTTCATTTAGTCTCCCAAATTTGAACTCCTTTATATGTATATTTCTCCCTGAAAAAAAATTGTGGCTGTAAATCATGGAATTCTTATTAGTTGATGATAGTCAATTCTGTCTTCCAAGAACATTTCCCACCTATCTATACATGTGGTGAGTGCTGCACCTCAGTTGGGTGGGGATTGAACTGGCTGATGCAAACTGGGCAGGAATGATTGGCAGTAGCTCTCTCACTTTAGCAAGGAGTGTCAGCTTCACAACACCTGAACACAGAAGCCAGGGTCTGAAAAATTGGTTTTGCTAAGAATTACCATCACTGTCACTTCCTGAACCTGAGAGGTTCCAGATAGGCAACCAAACAGTTATTTCCAGATCATCCTCTTCCCACTAGACTCCAGGAATATACAAACTTGAAGTCAGGACTTGGCAACCTAGACTTTTATGATTTGCTCTTGACATTTTATGTGATGTGATTTTTTTTTTTTTTTTTTTAAGATGGAGTCTTGCTCTGTTGCCCAGGCTGGAGTGCAGTGGTGCTATCTCGGCTCACTGTAACCTCCGTCTCTGGGGTTCAAGAGATTCTCCTGCCTCAGCCTCCCTAGTAGCTGGGATTACAGTTGTGCACCACCATGCCTGGCTAATTTTTGGATTTTTAGTAGAGATGGCATTTCATCATGTTGGCCAGGCTGGTCTCGAACTCCTGGCTTCAGATGATCCATGTGTCTCAGCCTCCCAAAGTGCTGGGATTACAGGCATGAGCCACTATGCCTGGCCTGTGATGTGATTTTTGATGGAATTTTATTTTGAGGCTGGAACACAACTTTCCTTTTTATCTCATTCGTATTCCATTAATATTCTTTGGAAACTTTCTTAGTAGAGAATAAACTATTTAAACTCACCACTTTAAATAAATAATTGTTATTATATGCTTTTATTCATTTAGTTACCATAATTACAATTTATCTTTAGTGTGCTATGTCCATAGTGTTTATTTTTGACTACAGAATGAGATCAAAGTTATTATTACTAACACTAATGATTAAGTTTGCCATTGTGCTATGTACCTTATATGCATTACCTCATTAATTTACAAATCCACGTTAACATCGATATTTATAAAAAGTGGTCTTTGAAATTCAGGAAAATTGTAACTGGCCAAAGCTCAAATTCAAAGAATTGAGTTTCAAATGAAAACATTTCTTTCTCAGCTGTTTGATCTTACAAAATTAAAGCGTATTCGGCTACAAGTGCTTAAAGTCATTAACCATTTATAAACAATGAAAATGAAAAGATACAAATCACTTAAAACCCCTGAGATTATAATGACTGAATTCACCAGTATTGGTAAACATTCTGAAATGTGAGAGTAGCTGGCTTTGTTCCTCCACAGAGGGAATGAAGGAAGGTTGTCCCATCCCCGCAGGGGTCTCAAGCTGGGGTGTGCTTTGTGGTGCAAGCAACCCAGCAGAACCCAGCAGCATGGAGGCAGTCAGAGGGAAGCAGAGAACAACGTTGCTCTAGCCCTTGGATGCCTAGAGGGAAAGCCACAGGTGAGGAAAGAGAGGCAGTGACAGGTCGGCATGGCACTCACATTCCTCTTGCGTGTGCTCAGCACTTGGCTGTCCTTACCCAGATGTCCTCGCTGAGCTGTGTCACCAGAGCAAACAAAACAGGCAAAATATCAAATATTACACATTACCCGTGACATTAAAGTGGGAAGTTCTCTTGCTCCATACGCTCAAAGTTGGTGTGTAGATACCCTCTTAATCTGAATATTTTTATAAACAAGGTTTAAATTTGGTTATTTCACTGTAATGTTCTAACTAGTGCTGAGAGAAAGAGAGAGAGAGAGAGAGAGAGAGAGAGAGAGAGAGACATGATTTTATTTCTCATATGTAATTAGATAGTGATTTATAATTTCAGTTTTGAAATATCCTCTAACGTCTCCAGTTATCTCAAGAGATACCATGAAGTTTTCCCAAAAAAATCCTCAAAAAAAATATTGAGACATCTCTAGACGGCTCCTAGAATAATCCCTCCCTTTTTCTGTTTCCAGAATCACACCATGCCAAACTACAAACTCACTTATTTTAATATGAGGGGGAGAGCAGAAATTATTCGTTACATATTTGCTTATTTGGACATAGAGTATGATGACCACAGAATAGAACAAGCTGACTGGCCTGAAATCAAATCAAGTAAGTAGCACATACAATAACTGTAGAAAAAATATGCTTTCAAAACCTTTTGTTTTTCCTCCAGGAAATGAAAACAAATCAAGGTTTCAAAGCTCATGTAGCTTTAAATTGAGAAGCAGCATTTCAGACAAATTAAATACATGCTGTGTGATCAAGCAAATTTCCTATTAGAGGTGAAAACACAAACCTTATAGAAAGAGAATATAAGCCGGGCGCGGTGGCTCAAGCCTGTAATCCCAGCACTTTGGGAGGCCGAGGCGGGTGGATCACAAGGTCGAGAGATCGATACCAACCTGGTCAACATGGTGAAACCCCGTCTCTACTAAAAATACAAAAAATTAGCTGGGCATGGTGGCGCGTGCCTATAATCCCAGCTACTCAGGAGGCTGAGGCAGGAGAATTGCCTGAACCCAGGAGGCGGAGGTTGCGGCGAGCTGAGATCGCGCCATTGCACTCCAGCCTGGGTAACAAGAGCAAAACTCCGTCTCAAAAAAAAAAAAAAAAAAAAAAAAAAAAAAAAAAATAGAGAGAGAATATAAAGGTAAACCAGTATAAAGCTTTGTCAGATGAGCTGAAAGAAACATGAGACATTTTTTTTTTCTATTTTGTCATTGGGATAGCTGAAGTGCACAGAGTTTAGGTAATTTTTCCGGTTTCACGACCATAGCAAGTAGAGCTGAGTTTCAAACCCAGGTAAATTTAATTCCAAGCCCAAGCTATTTGCACCAGATTATGCCAAAACAACACTACTATGATAATTGGCATATTATCAATGAATTGCCACATGCCTTTGGAAGCAAGAGCTCCTTAAAAGTCATTGCCCTTATAGCCATTCTTTTTCTAAGCAGAGTCCTCTTCTCTGGTGAGATAGTGTATCTTATTTCTCATTCTCATGATACTTAACCATTAATATCCAAATGTTGCTTCTGATATCAAAATTTGCACGTGGGATTTTAAGATGGTGAACATATAATAGGTGAACATTACTTTTATCTACTAATTAATTAGACTAAGATGGATAGAAAGGTGCAGATATTACATGTAACGAATTTTGCCTGTTAGTTTTTAAACAGAAGTTCACTGAGTGCCTCATTCCCTATTCTACCTCAACTTTTCATTGTTATTGAAAATAGAGTTTCTGTCTTTTCTTAATATATCCAGATTTTCAGAGTTCAATCTTAAAGTTCATAATGTTTAGGATAGAGTTTCAAATGCTTTAATAGACAAAGACACAATGTAAAAATTGTCTTAAAAATGATAGAAATTTCATTTACACAAAACCCCAAATGCGTATCATGATGTTGTTCTATAACGTTGTCAAATATTAGGTTTCCTGTTGATCTGCCACCCATCAATGTCTTATTTATACAGTGTGAGAAAGCTCACTCTCCTTCCACACTGTAGCTCAGGGAAAGTGTGAAAGAGGGAGGGGACACACCCCTTCCTTTTAACAGCATAATTAGGAAGTTGCATACGTCACTTGATAAGAATTTAGTCCATATTACTACACATATTACTAGAAGGGAAACTTATTACTACAAGAGAAATTGAGAAATGTTGATTTAATTTGGATAATCATTTGCACAGCTAAAAATCCAGGGTTTTATTACTCTGAGAAGAAAGGAAAGAATAGGTACTAAGAAGCAGTTTCTATTACAAATGTTATTTGGTCTCATCTGGTGTCCAGTTTAGCAGTGCCCTCTAGTGCTCAAAACCTGCTATGACGCTCCCTCTGCTAGAACCTAGAAAATCTCGTCAACACATGCCATCTTTGGATACTTTTATTAAAACGTTCTCCTGGACAAACCTGGTAGATTGCACACATGAGTACACATTTTCTCTCTTTAAAACATTTTTTCTCTCCTTTGATAATATTGAAGTACTTTACAAAAGGGCCAAAGTCCACAGAGACAAAGAAATAAAGCTTGAATGTAGATACAGTAGCACAACATTCTGGAAGCTAAAAAGCAGGCCAAAGAATGGGAAGGTGACTTAGGAGGCCCAACGCTCAAACATAAACCTGGGGGAGGAGAAGGTAAGCTAAATCACCTGAGATCCAGAAAAAGGCTCGTGTATTTGTAGTAGCAGATAACTCTAAATTTGAGCTGACAGAGGATTCACTGGAAAAATGTTGATGCAGAATTTTTCTTGACCCCTTTGTCAGACTTGTGATGGGGGTGCCCTATTTACATGGCCCGCTGGACTCAGTCCCTTGTGGGAGGGAGCACGTGAGCGAGCGAGGGTGGGATCCAGACGACCACTTTGGTGCTGGCAGAGCAAACTCTGTGCGGGCCCTGCAGTGGCACCCAGGCGGGGGTGCCTGCAACCCTTGAAGCCCCAGAGGGCATATTACAATGCTCCCAATAAATTTTTAAGAATTAAAATCATATCAAGTTTTTCTCAGACTGCAATGGAATAAAACTAGAGATCAAAAAAAGCTTTGGAAACTATACAAATACATGGAAACTAAACAACATGCTCCTAAATGATCAACGGGTCAATGAAGAAATTAAGAAATAAAACAATTTCTGATTATATTGTGTGCGTGTATCAAAATATAACATGTACCTCATAATATGTGCAATTACTATGTATCAATTTTTAAAGGGCTATGGTTAACTTAACGATATGATTTACATATTCGTTAAATGATTTACATATTGTTAGCCCTTACCATAACTCAATATGTAAATCAAACTCTTCATAATCCCCAATATATGATTTTTAATCCGTGATTGAGGTGACAAAAAATAACAAACCTTTAAAAGAACATTTTTAATAGTAAGCATATAAAATACAGTACCGTATATGGTGTCACTGTAAACCTGGGTTTAAGAACCAATTCTGTCACTAACTTTAAATCAGGTTTCCTAACAACTTAAAAAAACTTATAAAATGTAAATATGTCACTACAGATTGTCAAGTGTTCCTTTAAAAATAAATATTTAAGTATTTCATGATTTCATAAAATCATGCTTTGTTTTCATACCAGTAAAAATGAAAGTATTATAACTTCTGGTTTTGTTAAGAAGTTGACTTTTTGCTCATTTTATTTTAAGCTCTCCCATTTGGAAAAATCCCCATTTTGGAAGTTGATGGACTTATCCTTCACCAGAGCCTAGCAATAGCAAGATATTTGACCAAAAACACAGGTAACATGTTTATTGTGCTTAAGATTTTTGATAACTGAAACAAACACATTATATGTATTCAATATTCATTAAATGACTTTAGCATACTATATCATAGTACAAATAAGACTGGAAATAAATAATAGAGAAAAGGATAAATATGCCACCTGTATCAGTTTGACTTTCCATGAGTTCCCTAGACAATTAGACAATTTTATTTTATATTGCCTCCTGCTTTTCCTCTTATATCTCTTTGCCCTTTAGGCCCCTTTTGAAGTTTAGCTGAGAAACTGGACAGATATGTTTCATTCCAAACTTTTGCTGGTATGCATAAGTTATCAGAGAAAATTACTTAGCAGAAAATACATATGGCATATGGAGGTTGAAATTTCTTAGACTATTAAAATTATATACTCAGTAATGTTCTTCATCCTAATCACGCTGAAAAAATAGAAAGGGAGTACCTTTGCTTCCACTCAGTGCCATCTGAGGAAGCTTGAAGGAGCTAGTTGGCTTCTGGATTACTGCATTAGTGCCCGCCCCATGATATTTGAAGAGAAGTAGAAACCATCCCTGTTTTTGCCTGACACTCTTTCTCCCATCCTACGCTCCATTGTCTTCTCTCTTCCCTCATACTATTCTCACACTCTTTTTGAGCCAAAATCTACTTTGGCTTCCTTTAAATCTCCCTTCTTTCAATCAATCTGTAGACTCACCGTTCTCCCAAACCTATCTCTCCATCACCATTGCCACCACTACGATTCAAGCCATAGACCCATACCTAGTTAGCTCACAGATAAAATGGGCCATGAATACCAGACCTCATTTTGGAATGAAGTAGTGTATTTTAAAAATATAGAGGTTTGTGTTACACTAACATGTTTCAACAAATAAAGTTTTTTGGAAAGTTTAGAAGAAATGGAAATTATTTATGACTAGGGAAATTAGGCTTTAAAGTGAAAATGATATTCAAGTTTAGGCTCAAGGTTAGCTAGAATTTCAAGAGGAAGACTTGGACCTGGGCAGTGCTTTGCAAACTTTATGTGCATCGGGGTCACCTGGGTGCTTATTAAAATATACTTTGTGCAACTTTGAGTCAGTAAACCTTGGGTGAGGCCCAAGAATATGCATTCTTAACAATTTCCCAGATGATACAGGTGATCCGTGGATCTCACTTTGAGAATCACTGGGCTAGAACAATCGAAGCAGAGAGAAAATGGCATGAGAAGAAGAAATGAGCTTCAAATTTGCAGGTGAAAGAGAATTAGAGAAATGTTAGAAGAATAGATTGAATCTGATTAGAAAGACCCAGAGTGTGGACTTTTTTCCTTACACAATTGTAGGTTTTTATCTAGAAAAGCAGCATAACTACTGCTATGCATCTGGGGGAAGATTATTGTGGCCACTTTGAATTTGTGGCTACCGCAGGGAAACACATTAGGAGATCCCTGAAATGGTCCAGGTGGTAATGAAAAAGAAGAGACCAAGAAAAATATGAAAAATCTGTGGATGTAGAATCATCTTAGAGACTAGTAGCTAGATGTTGTCATGTGGAAGGCAGTCTGTTTAATCAGGAGAGGAAGACCACAGCATAGACAGCCCGCCCTTCTCACTGCACTATGTACTGCCAACTTTCTCCTCCTCCTCCTCTTCTCCTTCATTTCTTTTCTGTTTAAAATACTTTTTTCACCTTGCAATACCCTTAATGTCTGCCTTCTCCAGCTGACCATAAGCATTATGCAGGCAAGGAAGTTACCTCTTTCAATGCTACTATGTACATCCCCCACTTGCGGCTGAGTCACAGTTGAGGCTAGTAATTTTTGTTGGGTGAAAAAAGAAGAGCTGGTTTGAGAAATGGTGTGATGACTCCATTTGAGGATTTGTGGAAGAATGTTCAGGCACCAAAAGAATACTCAGAGATAGATCCAAAAACAGGCTGAAAAAAATGAGCCTGTGGTTTAGCACTAAAAATATTGAATGAGGAGTCACCTACATAAATGTTTGGCTGAAGCTTTGAGGTGGAAGTCAAAGCAGGAAAGAAAAAGAGTGAAGAATTCTGAAGACTTTTCAAGTTCAGAAAGAATAATAACCTCTGAATATCACACACACAAAAATACAGTTTACAGAGGAACTCTAAATCACTCAAGCATTTTCTTTTGATTTGAACATCTTTGTTGAGGTATAGTTTACATACAATTCATCCACAGAATTGTTTCTACACAGAAGCATTTTAAATTGGCACCATTAAGAAAATTTTTAGGAAGATCAATGATTTACTTGCAAAAATAATGATTAACAAATGAGACAAAAGAACAAAAATCCTCTGTTACTTAAAACTTTTAGTCTCCAGTTAGAAAAGAAATGCTCCTGACCAAAACTGTCTGCAAAAATAAAAATAATTCTTCATATAAAATAAATTATAGTGCAGTTACAGGTTATTTATTGCAGTATTGCTTGTATTAACAAAAGACTGGAAGCAAACCTAATCAGTTAAGGCTAAAGAAATTGTGGCACACCTACCTCAAGAAATCCCATGTGGATACAAAAATTAAAAAAAAAAAAAAAGAGCAAGTACACCCTTTGGGTACTTGTAAGAAATATCTGTAAGGGATATGGGGCGAAGAAGCATATCTAGTGGGATGTGTATTTTTATTTGCTTGTATTTTCATAAAGAAAATGGAAGAATACATAAGGAACTAATTAAAGTGGCTACTAATAAGGTAGGTAAGTAAGGGAGCAAAATGTGGTGGACGGAAGCTAGTCTTCACTGGATATTGTCTTATACTCTTGAATTTTCAACCATATGAATATAGTATCTGTTAAAAAGAAACTTCTTAATATAGTAAATTCAATTAAACGTATCGATGGGCCCCTCTCTATTCCTTAGATTTGGCTGGAAAAACAGAAATGGAACAATGTCAAGTTGATGCTATTGTGGACACACTGGACGATTTCATGTCATGCTTTCCTTGGGCAGAGAAAAAGCAAGATGTGAAAGTAATGTAATTTATTTGCTATTCCTAGTATTAATCACATACCACCTGCCAGACATTGTGTTAGGTGCCTCAGAAAGTTCCTTCTTATCAAAACAATATATATAGTTTTAAAATATCAAATTATTATTTAAAAAGTTTAAAATAAAGTACAGCAATTCACTATTGTACCCCTTCATATTAACTCCTCCTCAGATGCAACCCTTTTAAAAATTTGTTTAGCAGTTTCTTTAGGATTTATGCATCTCTGCTATAGGATATGTAAATATGACTTCCTTTGATCCACCCATTGTAGATAGTTTCTAAAGACTTATGAAACCTGAAAACATGATTAGTATGCTATGCAAATACACATATGTACCTGAGACACAAATTTTGTGTTTAGATTTAGGTCCCATCCCCAATATATCTCATTATGTGTATGCAAATATTCCAAAACCTGAAAAAACCTGGAATTGAAGACAATTCTGTTCCCAAGCATTTTGGATAAGGGATCTCAATCTATAATGACATTTTTTCTCTTACACCTTTTCACCAAGCTCCTGATATAGTGATGTTAACATTTTTTGGTTAAATGAATATTCTGTAATTAGTATGCTATGCAAATAATATACAGAACTGTGCACTGTAGTAGGCTTTTATAATATTTCCTTTCTTACTTATCTTCCTGAAAATTAGTAATTCCCTTGTTTCTTTTAATTGCTGACTTCCCACAGTATCCAATAGCCAGCCAATATGATTTTCACAAAGTCAATGTAGTTTCAGTTCATCTGTTATTTCCAATATTTCGTGGAGTGCTCTGTCTAGGAGATCTCCATTCTTTGTGGAGTCCTCTAGGTTTTCTGCACAGTTATCCTTGGAATTCTCTTTGCTGTCATTACAGTGATGCCATTCTATGGAGCTGGAGTCCTGTTTCCTGGATGCTGTCTTCTTTCTTTGTTTACTCCATTGTTTATTTGGGGCATAATCCTCTAGTATTGCAAAAGTTAAAGTGAAGGTTTGACAACAGCAGATATGATTATGACAGATGGCATGAATATGTCTATCTTGTGAGTCACACTGCTTCACTCTGGTATGGTTGTCCTAGATACTTTGGTCACACTTGGCATCCTGAGATCTTTATTTTTATCCAGGATAGTTTTTTTTTTTTTTTTTTTTTTTTTTTTTTTAGCTTTTCCTGGGTTCATTCTCTTGTTTTCTTTCCTTGTTTTTGTGGAACAATCCTCCAAGAGCTTATTGGTCATAGGAAATAAAAGTTTGGCACCTTATTTGTCTAAAGATGTTTTTATTTTATTCTCAAACTTGTTTTATAGTTTGGCTGGGTATAGAACTCTGTTGAAAGTAATTTTTCATTATTTGAAAGATGTTATCTATAATATTTTAGCTGTTGAGAAGTTTGAATCCAATTAAATTACTGACCTTGTATGTGACCTATTTTTTTTCCACTCTGAAAGATTATAAAACATGTGCCCTTAGAGTTCTAAAATTTTGCAATGACAAGTCTTGGTACGATCTTGTTCTCATCCATTGTGCTACTTCCTTGGTGAGTTCATTCAATCTGGGAACCTCATCCTTTAGTTCAAGGAAATTTCCTTTAATTCTTTCATTGATTTCCTCCCCTTTATTTTGTTCCATTATATTAGAATTTCACTCATTCAGATGTTGGCTCTTTTCCTATATCTCATCTCTTTGCTTTTCTGCATTACTTTTAGAAAGCATTTCTCAACTTCATTCATCAATTCTTGAGTTCTAAGTCTCTGATATTGTGCTTCTAAATTTATAAAAATTCTGAGGCTGTTTTCTGCTAAGAATAGGAAAGGAACAGTTATCTAGCAATGTGAAATGAAGAACATCTCATGCTAAAACTGCTTCTTTAATAGTTTTCCACCCATCCTCATTTTATCCCCTCCCAAACTTCCTTAACCCCAATTGTAGACATATCCTGTCATTTCCTGAGTCATTTAAGGATTTCATGTCATTGATGGGATTGGTTCTTGGCTTTTCCTTTGCAGGTGCCATTCACCCATCTGCTTGCCAGCTTCAAATTTTGTTTGCTCTTCTCTCCTCTCTTTCCATTTCTTTGTGGGTTCTGTCTTTTTAAAAATATTCATCACTGTGGTTTGGGGATAAAAGCAAAATGATGTATATATGTCAAATCATTCATCTTTATGCAGAATTCTAAGTAGATGTCTTCAGTTCTTAATTACAGCATCTAGTGGTTTCCTTTAGGACATTCATCACAATCTCTTATTTTAAAATGTATTTGTTTGTTCTTGTCTCCTCAAGCTGGATGCATCAGGAGGGTAGGAATCATATCTGTATTATTCAACTGATCCCTACCGCTATCACAGTGCCTTTTACACAATAGGCATTGCACAGTTGTTGAGTAAGAGGTCAGAACCACATTCATCAAATGCACACCATGTGCCTGTGCTACTCTTGGCTCTTTGGATGTGTTATCTCAGTCAGCCCTCCTTCTTCTCCTTCAAGGTAAGTGCTTTTTATTGTCATACTCACTTTCCAGATGAAGACAGTGAGAAACAGAGCAGTTACAGAGTTGCCCGAAGTCAAACAAATGACAGAATTATGATCTGAGCCTAGACAGCCAAATTTAGAACCTATAGCTTCATCGCCTTGGTATACAATCGCTTAACTTAATAACTAATTTAAACATCCCTTTAGAATAAAACTGTTATCCTAATTTCCCAGGTAAGAAAACAGTTTCATGTAAACAACTTGCCCAAAATTGTTCAGCTATAAGTGATGCACAAGGAATTCAAATCATCACAGACTCAAAACGCCTGATTCTTAACCACTGGGTATACTACCACAGTGCAAGCAGCTGTTCAAAACAGCTGTGCATGAATATTTATGTACATGTTAAAACTAAAGCCTATAGCCAAAAGCCACAGCACAAATAGCAGGCGTTCTTATCAATTTACTTAAGCACATATTTAAGTATATACTACCTACTTAGTATTTATTGTAAATACTATTTAGCACCTTCTGATTTGAATACAGACATCTGGACACAAAAGTATTTACATTTACTGACTTTGTGATACAAATGTAAGGTGTGTAGGGTGTGCACGCACACACATGCACACATATTTGCCTATCCAGGAAAGAGTAAAGTTCAGCTTTGATGACAGAAATACAACTTCTTGACATAAATACATTTGGGCTCTGGAGTCAAACTGTCAGGCTTGAATCCTGATTCCCTTCTTACTAGCTGTCACTTAACTACCTATTTATAGTTCAAACTCTTTGTGAAGTAGGGATATAAGTCTCTACTTTGAAGTATGTTGGCAGGATTAAATGGTAGCATATGTGCCTATCACTAGGTAGAAGTGTTAAATACTTTGGTGTTAATCGTCTTTACTATTTGTCAGACATGGCATCTGTATTTGACATATTATTATAAATGTAGAAACAGATAATCTTCAATTTAGAAAAAAGTGTCTAAAGATTTTTGTTCCATGTACCAAAGACCCCCCTAATGTGCAGCCTATCAATTTATCAGTTTGCTCTTCTCTACTTTCTATTTTCTACCTTTCTGTGGCTGAGGCTCCATAACAGAGGCCACCTACCAGAGGAAAATATTCTTCAAACATTTATGATAAGAGTAACACTCTACCTTTGTATTTCAGTAACAAAACTCTTATATAAATCACCCGCTTCAGAAAACAATTTCAAAGGACATAGCAATCCAAGTTTGTGAATAAATCATACAAAGGCAGGACACGTTGCAGAAACATTGCTGATAGCTGTAGAATATCTAATTAACAAGCAGGACTAGGCTAATATATAATGAAAAATGCACCATTCTGTATTTCATTTCTCAGACTGTTCGTAGTGGACTGCATTGCTGCCACCTCATGGTCAGGCGAAAATTTCAAAGGCAGAATATTGATGCACTTCAGATGGATAGTGAATATATTCTTGTCATATATGCTTCAAAAATCTGTCAGAGCACTTATTGCTAAAAAATTCCATTTCCAATTAAAAAAAGAATTAAAAGCAAAATACGTCTTTGGATATTGATCACCATGACAATCCTTATCATTAGTGTTACTTTGGTTATGTATCTGTGTTTCCATTTCCTCATCTAAAGAACAGGATGGAGAAAAAGAATGAGAGGGCCTGAGGACATTCTGATGCCCTGGTTCCAACACAAAATAATTTTGGTAATGCGTACGTAAAAATGCTTTGGAGAAATATACAAATCTCCCTAAAAGTCGTTTGTTAGAATATCATAGCAACAACTTCTCAGGGTGAAAAAAACCTCCTTTATAACTCTCCAGAAAGGGAGGCAAGAAATTTCTGAATCCATCAAGTACAGGAGCAGCTGTCTAGGACTGATGAAGAAATGTATTTTAAAAAATATATCTGGAAAAAAAGAGATGTAATTAATTTTATCTTCTTTACATTGTTTTAGCTGACAGTTCTTTAAAATGAATCTTAAATACAAATTACACTGTTTCTTAATTTACATTTCATTAGACTAGTAATCATTTGGTGAAATAATTCACCAAAATTATAAAGAGAACAGGGGCTCAAGAAGTCAATAGCACAGATATAAGAGTTTTATTTGAGTCTGCATATATATACACATCGGTGTACCTGAAGTTGTGGAAATGTACATTAGAACTCACTGCCCTTCATCAGGATTACAAATTCTGTGTAAGCAGCAGAAAGACTCATATCTAATGTTTTCTTCAACTATGAACATACTAACCACAGAGCACTTTATAAAACAGGGGAAAGAACATAAAGTCAAAATAATGACAAGCTTTATAAGCTTCAGTTTTTAGATCTGGCAAACATATGTAAGTACAGGTTGAGTATCCCTTATCTGAAATTCTTGGGACCAGAAGTATTTGAGACTTGGGGTTTTCTTCAAATTTTGGAACATTTGCATTATACTTACTGGTTGAGCATGCCAAATCTGGAGAGCCAAAATCTGAAACGTTCCCCTGAATATTTTCCTTTGAGCATCATGCCAGTACTCAAAAAGTTTTGGATTTTGGATTTTTGGACTAGGGATGCTCAGCCTGTATGTAAAGATGACTTTGCAAACTGTACTCTATAAATATAAGGCATTATGTTGTGCATACATTATCTAGCTAAGTCATAATCATAACAGCAAGTAAATCAACAAATTGGTGAGGTATCCACTATCTGATTTATCTTAATAAAGGTTGGATTTCATTATAGGTCATCTATACACATTAATAAATGATATATACATTTTATGAGTGTAGCTGATATTTTATAACCAAGACTCAAACAGGCAGAATTCCTATATATAAACAAGTATCTCTTATCAAGAAAGAGGCCTTGAGTAAATTATTTGGTCTTCAGAGCTTCAAGTAAAAAAATAATGACAATTTTTAAAAAATGGGTGTTTTATACATATTTTCCTAAGGATGTTAATTTTGAAAAATAATATTCACTTATATATCAAGAAGGGATAACTGGATGAAGCATTTTGTAGACGATACTCAAGGTAGACAAATCTGATACTAAGGCACAATGGTAGTCTCCAAGGAGAATATACATAAGGGCCCAAGATCATCATGATTCATTACATCGATTAAACCCAATAGTAATCTAGGCTTATGAAATAAAATAAATTTCTTTACCTTCAGTTACATTATTTAGTTTTAAAAGAGCTAGGTTAAGAAAAAGGGAAATTTTAGAAATCTAAGAAAACAATCATTTTGCCTTATTTAAAAAATTTAAGAAAAAATAAGGTTTTGTGAGTAAAATATTTAGTCATTATACACAAACTGTAAGAACTGGTGACAAAACTATTTATTTTTTTGAATACATGAGCAATAGAGATGACTAACGTCTATAATCACACCTAAATCTCCGTGTCATAAATTTGAATAAAAAAATCTAGCTTTCTTTTTCTTCTTGAATTCATGTGGGAGAATAAAGGTGGAGAAATCTACTTCCTCCTCAGATCATATTACTTACTTTTACTTTTCTTCTCATTATTCTTAATGTGATATTTTCTCCCTCTCCTAGGAGCAGAGGTTCAATGAGCTGCTCACATATACTGCGCCTCATCTTATGCAAGATTTGGACACATATTTAGGGGAAAAAGAGTGGCTTATTGGTAACTCTGTGAGTATATTTTATATCTTTAAAAGTTAAAAAAATAAAAGGAAAAACCAAAAAATGTATAAAAAATGTATTGAAAAAAGTTACCTATAAGGAGAGAATAGAGTTTACAGCAAGAACAAAGGTTAAATTTCTTTAAGTAAACCTTTTAAAGAATATATTTGATTTTGGAACCATAATATTTTATATAATTATTTATTAGCAGCGGTTTAAAAAGCTATGCTAAAAAAAGAAAGTGAAGTAAATGAACCTAACTGTGCAAAAGAAACACATAAAGAACACACAAAATACATATGTACTCTATTAGAGAAGAACTATTTCAAGAAATATCATTTGTAAAACCCACTAATTTGATTATACATCTAAGACAGATATTCTCTTAGATTAGAACAACAAGAAATCATATATTACTTTCAGTAATCATATTGTTGGTGATACTAGGCACTATTGGTATTTTTTTCTGATATTATTATACTTATATTGTGAGTACAAAAATAAATTGTGTTGATGTCATTGAGAACCAGGATCTTCAGTATGGGAGAAAGGAGATGGAGATTTAAGGTGAGTAAAGTCAAGTAAATATCCTATTCCTGAACCGGAACTACAGCCAACAGTATAAACTCGTATGTATTTTGTATCAGTATAAATGAGAAAGCATTTTGTATCTCAATCGATTGGAAAAAGTTTCTCTTTATAAAAGCATTCCAGTTAATAGATAAGAAAGACAGACTGAAATAAACTATCACCACTTTCCAACCCCAGAAAAATTGGCATAGGCTTGGACCATCAATAATCACAAAAAAGTGAGACAACCAAGATACTATGGGCACACTACCACCTACGAGTAGTCTTGCTAAAAAATCAAATCTAAATCTGATTTACAAGTCGTGGTAGGTGGTGGTTCCTGCCTTCAGGGAGACTGCATTCTGGGAGGTGAGACTGCTTTTTTGTAGCCCACTGACACTGACTGCTGTCTGCCCTGTTCAGCCCTTCTGGGTGATAAACAGAAGCAAACTTGTTACATCTTTATTCTCAACTTTCAACCTCTTCACACATACCTTTATTTCTTCTGACTGGCTCCCCTCATAGCCTTTCTTAAAGTGCTTCTCTCCTGCCCTATTTACTGAATAATATCTAAGACTTTATTTTTTTATTTTCTATTAAAATTCCTTTGTAAACGATGTTCTGATCTCATCTCTGAGCACTCTCTCCCTTCTTCACAGTGCTCCAAACACACTGGTGTGTGTGTTCCTCACACCTAACTCACACTCCCACCTAAGGGACTTTACATTCTTCCCTATACTTGGAACGCTGAACCCCCAGGTGGCTTACTGCAGGTCTTAATTCTTTTTTACATTCAAGCCTTGGCTTATGTGTCACTTCTTAAAAGTCTTCCCTGACCATGCCATAGTCCATAACATGACTTCACTTTTTTTTTTTTCATTACTCCCATTAGTTTGCATATTTGACTGATTTTCCCTTCTAAAATAACAGCTGCATCAAAGCAGCAGCTTGCATCCTAACTTGCTCTCCAGCACCTAGACCAGGGCATGGCACACAGTAGGTGCTTGATAAATATTTGAATAAATTCTGGATTTATTCTGAATCTTCTAGCCAATAGCTTCTCTTGGCTGACAGATGTTTAGTAAGTTCCTGAAACACTTGCAATCAACTTCATTAAACTCTATACAAAAAGATAAAGAGTATTTAACCTTCACTCTTTGATAATCATATGGAGCCAAAGTAACAGCATACATTGGCTTCTAGTCACAAAGGTAAAAACATCCAACTGTACAATGGTAGGACCAGGCTGTCATCATCAATCCAGTGGTCAATCTTGGCATACCTCTAATGGTCAGACACTCATATATTTCTTTTGATGTGATACAATATAATGTATTTTAGCCACAAATAATATCACTTGAAACTATATACCCTCTAGGAATAACTTGCACCTCTTCCTTTATACTATGTAGGATAAAGGAACAAGGTAAGATGAAATACAAAGATCCTGAAGATAGGACATTCTGTAGGACTAGTATGAAATCTTCAATAATTTGGTGATGTGAAAAAAAAGGTACTGTTTTGAAGAGCTAATGGACATACTCAGATGAATGCACAGACCTGGAATAGATCCTGCTTTGTCCTGTGAAGGACATTTTTAGAACAGATGGAAAAACACATATTGGTTATTAGATAAGGAAAATGTATTGACACAGAGAGGTAGAAACGGGACAAGGTTACAAGACTATGTATCATTAAGCGCTCATGTTAGTAAAATGACACCTATCTATCAGCATAGAAAAGTATCTTATACATGAAAATGTTTAACAGTAGTAACCTGAGTGTTGGAGTATGTTATCAGTAATTTTCTGAATTTCTGTCATATACATATTCTGCTTTCGTAATAACGAAAGATTGTTTTGGGTCTTTTAGATTAAGAAACTAATTTTAACTTTGAATACAGCTATACTTTCTATGTTCAAACGAAAAGTCTGTTTCCTTTAAACTAGGTAACTTGGGCAGATTTCTACTGGGAGATTTGCAGTACCACACTTTTGGTCTATAAGCCCGACCTGCTGGACATTCATCCAAGGCTGGTGTCTTTAGTGAAGAGAGTCCAAGCCATTCCTGCCATCGCTAACTGGATAAAACGAAGACCCCAAACCAAACTCTAGCTGATCCATGCTGCCTTCAAGTTTGTTTTCTTGGGTTGCATCTCTCCCATCAGATAACAGCCACATCAGCTTGCCAGATAATCCACATGCTCCCTCGCCGGCTTTACCAAGATTTTCACTTTAGCCATATTCTGATTTTAAAAACGGAAAAAAACAAAAAACCATCTTGCTTCACTATCTTTTTCTTTGAGAATGGCTTCACAGCATTTACAATTGAGGGAAAATAGTATGTAATACTGGCAGATCTTTTCTTGCACAGGTTCTAACATGAACAAACTGCAATCACGATGGTTTAGCAACACCATTCTTCCCCTCCTCCAAAAATGGTTTGAACTTCAGCTATCAAAATTACCTGCAATTGCATCAAATACAAACTTTGCTAGTAGCTCTCCAGTTCACATATCCCTATGTAAATAACCTATGTACATCATGACCAATAACCAGTCACTTCTTTCAGACTGCCAGGGGTCACTGCACATCTGTTATTCTTACATAGCAAAGTGTGTATTGCTATTGCCTGCTTGTTGCCCAGTGGTAAATCCCTTTGACATTTTACAAAAATGAATAATCAAAAGAGTGAACTCCCCAACAAAGATTAAAGTGCAGCAAAGGAACAAAAACTTTTAATGCTGGAATGAAATTCAAACTGAACATACAGTTAAAGAGAAAAGAGTTGACTGGGAATCTGACACAGCTACAGTTCAAGAGGCTCTAGATATGCAGCCAGAGGAACTTACGAACTTACTGACATGAATAATGTTGTGACAAGAAAAATGTAGATATCCCAGAGATCAAGAGAATGAGAAGACAAGCCATAGACTGGGAAAAAATACTTGTAAAACATGTATCCAATAAAAGATTGTTATCCAAAATTATACAAAGAACTCATAAAACTCAACAGTAAGGCAACAAACAAGCTGATCAAAAAATGGGCAGAAGACCTCAACAGACACCTCAACAAAGATACAGTAGCAATAAGCATATGAAGTGCCCAACAAAGCATCATTAGCGAACTGCCAATTAAAACAATATACCACTATATGACTATCATAATGGCAAAAATCCAAAACGGCAGACACCACCAAATGCTGATGAGGATGTAGAGCAAGGGGAACTCTCATTTGTTGATGAGAATATAAATGGTACGGCCACCTTGGAAGACAGTGACAGTTTCTTACAAAACTAAACATACACTTACCTTACAGTCCAGCAACTGTGCTCCTTCATATTCATCTCAAAGGACCTGAAAACATGTCCACATAAAAACCTGTCCACAGATGTTTACAGCAGCTTTATTCACAATTGAGAAGTCAAAAACGAGAGGAGGATGTGGGGAAAAAGAAAGAAAAGGAAAAAAAAAAGCCCAGATAGGTATAATATTATTTAAGGTATTTGTTTCCTCTCAATGTTTTATGAAATTGAAAAAAATGTTATTAATACTTTAGGCTAGGCACAACGGCTCATGCCTGTAATCCCAGCACTTTAGAGGCCGAGGCGGGTGGATCACTTGAGGTCAGGAGTTTGAGACCAATGTGGCCAACATGGTGAAACCCCATCTGTACAAAAATAAGCTGGGCATCATGATGGGTGCCTATAATCCCAGCTACTCAGGAGGCTGAGACAGAAGAATCACTTGAACCCAAGAGGTGAAGATTGCAGTGAGCCAAGATTGTGCCACTGCACTCCAGCCTGGGTGACAGAGGGACTCTGTCTCAAACAACAACAAAACAATAAATATAAATTATTAAAGATCACACAAAAAAACAAAGTGAATTTTCCAAGTACCTTGATTCTTTGGATCAAATTTTCTTGTTATTACTGACTGTAAGTAAATTATAATAGGCTGCATGTGAATCTCATTATAAAGCCCTCCAACATGTAATCCAGGCAATCTAAAAGTATTACCTTTAACAACAACCACAAAATGCAAATAATGCTCTAGATAATGAAGGTAGTTAACTTTTCTTCACTCTTCTACATAAATTTTCCCCACATCGAGCTTTAATGAAGACAGAATTAAGTAAATGCTTATATAAAATTATCCAATGCTCATACAAAATTATGAAAATTCAAAATAAGATAATCAGTCCTACATATTTATACAAATCATAATTCAAGTATAGAGTACCATGGCAAGTTTCGTAAGGAAATATTTAGCATTATCATAACCTTTAGGTAATCTTTTTGCACTTAAGGACAACACATTCCATTATTCTATTGTGTATCCAAATTAAATTTCTCCTTGCTGCTATACAAAGAGAAGGTGGTTAAGCAAGAGTAAAGTCACACAGAAAGTACACTGTATATTGAATTTATAATTTTAAAAATACATTTTTGGGAAAAGAGTTAAAAATGAATTCCTTAAATTTATGGACTGTGTCACACATAAGGTCATGCAAATGGAAACCAAATCTCATAACCCCATCTCTCCACTACGCAATAATACCAACTGTTAGGAACGGTAATGTTTCAAAATAGGTATCTATTGGCATAAAGTTAAAATTCGATGGAGTCCCAAACAGTTATAAAAATGCAGAAGGCATGTCTTCTTTGTGTAGCTTGCATTTAAAAAATGCTTCAGTTGGTCAAGATATTACTCCAACTGTTGCTTCATTTGCTCTGTAGTGATAATGGGTTATAATATTTACTGACATCAGTCCAATGAAGAAACCAATGAGAATATATCCTAAGTAGTAAGTTCCAATTTACTGACAAACAGGCAATATTAAGCACATAAGATAATCCCATTTGTGCCCAATATTACATATTTTTAAGGGTAAGAGGAGGATTAGAAACTATTAAAAAGGGTGTGAAGATACAACTTATGATCACAAATATTTTTATTAAGCCCAAGACATAATAGCGCATTACAGGAAGAACCCAACTACATTTCAATAGAGATAAAATTATGGATATAACAATAACAACAATAACAACAACAACAACAACAAAAGAAACAGCCTATCACTGAAAATACATTATTACAGAAAAGTTATGAGAAATCCATTATGAGATTTTAAAAGGTAATATTCCTAACAATGTGACTAAGTGATTTGGGTATGGTGATGTACAAGGAGGTAGTACTAACACATGAAGACTCCTTTTAGCCCTGTAATGGTAAAATATATTCAGTCTGTTCAATATACCATCAAGACTGGGGTTAAGCCATGAGTTCTCGGAGTCTTTAATATCTAAATAATCACTGTAAGTGTTTTATTTGCTTTCCAAATCCAGAGGGTCGTATTACCTAACATCTTAGCAAGTTAGGATGCTTTGAAAAGTATGATTTCCAAAAATTAACAAATCTTTGATTTATAAATAAGTTTATTTATAATGATATTTACATAATAAAAACAAAACACATGGAACTCACAAGTTATACAAAGAAACTGATGTATAATAAAAACAGCAATATAGACTGACAGGCAGAAATTTAAAGAAAGATTTTAATAAAGAGTTAAATATCAAATAGACAACTTCACTTCTAAATTTCACTTTGTCACTCACACTGAATTGGAATTGAACAATGGCTCTCTCTTCAAGCGGTCCTGTACTGGAAATTCTGGAAACTGGTAAAATATATTTTGATTAAGAGTTTCAAGTTAATGACCTATTTCCATGCAGTACCTAATGCTGCCTTTAGATGAAGTCACATTCAATCTGCTTTGAAGTGAAATAGCTTTAAGTAATCTGTTCTGCCAGGCTAGAAAAATGTCACCAACATTTTGCTGATGCATGGAGATGTGGCAGTAATAAACTACTATTTAGAGAGGAAGAGAATTGGAGCAGAAGTGACTGGGCAACAGTTTCAAGAGAAGCAAAAGCCGGGAGAGGGAAATCAATGAAAACATGCACAAGTTTAGGCAGAGTAATATGCACAATTAGTGCAGTTGGAAAATGAACAGGAGGAATTAATCCATGGAGCAAGGTAAGGGCTTCTTTAGTTACTACTCACTGGAAAACAACTTAGTGCCTAGCCAAACAAATTTGTTTCAGCAAAAGTACTTGAGAGGACCTGGGGGGTGTTAGTATATGGAACGCCACCTTTAAATTCAGGCTGAGTTCTTGCTGACATTGGTGAACATCTGCTTCAAATAGCAATAAAATGAAAGCTATATCATCTATACAGCTGCATTCTTTAACATGATAAAAAAAACTTCCATTGAGACGAGCAAAAACAAGACATAAGCATTGTCAAATAAGGCACATGTAAAAATCTACACACATTATCCAGTGAAAGACAATATATATATATTTGGAGGTAGAAATAATTACAAAAATACTGACATTTCTAAAGCATTAGCATATTTGTTACAAACAATCACCAACTAATCCCCATTCAGAAAACTGCTTTGTAAAATGATTATTCAACATCTTCAGGACTACATATTTGTGGCTTTTTTTTTTTTTTTTAAATTTCACGTGTGAGTATTTGGAGAATTCAGTTAGTGGCAAAAAAGTTGTCCATACTATGAGAAATGTAATATGGAAATTATAAAAAGTTATAAATGTTCATAAACCCCATGGTCATCATAATGTAAATGTCCTTGAGTGCACCAAGTTGATATTTCCTCATCAATTGAGAGCTCACAATTCTTATTTCACAGGCCCATTGATGTTTTTAGTAATGTGGCTATATCTGCTGGCATACTCCCTTCATCACCTGTAGATCAGAAAGTAGCATTAAAAGCATTACAAAAATGTTTTATTTTATAAGACATATTGTCTCAATTTATTTTTTCCTTGGTGAATTCTTACTCATCTTTCAAGGGCTAGGTTGTTTCAGGGTCACTCCTGTTAAAAACCTTTCCTAAACTTTACTGATATTAGGGCCATTTCCTCTCTGTTCTTGTTCACATTGCCAACATAGAAATCTAAGGTTATGTTTCCAATTTTATAAAGCTATATAAAAATACATGATATACACTGGATCATATCTAAGTCATATAGCCCATGGTACTTCTCACATTTGCTAAATCACATAAAAAACATTTATGTAACAAATGGAGTAAAGAAAACAAAGACAACAAATGCAAACCTAAACCAACCCAAAACTTATTTAATCTAAACTCTTATTTTTTGATCTAAAGATACAATCACTTAGACCCAAACTGTATACATATAACATTCCGAGCACAGCATACCAGCTAATGATTAAATTAGCCACTTTAAATTAC